GCTGAACCTCAGAGTTGGTCATATGGGGTTCAGCACCTTAACCACTACATCACCTGCTGGCCCCAAAGTAAATTCTTTTGTTGGCTCAAACACTTATTGGTAATATTCTACAAGGGGACTTCCAAAAGTTCATGGAAAATTGAATTAAAGTATGAGCTTAATTTGGTACAAAATTGTTTTTAAATCCATGCATGGGAGACTAGCAGATGGTGTAATGGTTATGTCACTGGACTCCCACATGGTTGACCATGGTTTGAGTCCTGGACCCTGAGGCTTGAAACTCACGTTGTGTGCATGTGCATACATGCCCAAATCCCGAGAGGAGAAAAGAGAAGAGTTTGTGGTATAGCCATTCCCCCTTGGGGTTGATTTCTTGCTTTCTGTCTCTCTGGCAAGTACATGTGCCCTACAACAAAAATCTCTCAAAGAAATTAAATAAATCCATGCATGTTTTTTTTTCCTAGTACGCATTTTCCCACAAGCTTTTTGAAGACCCCCTTGTATGTGTCAATTATAGGGCAAGGAGATACAGAAACCTAGTTCTGTCTCTGAGGCACTCACACCTGCTCATGGTTACCTATCTGCACATCTGTCTCTGGATGACTTCTTAGTCCTTTAGGATTTGAGAGCCTGCTGTAGTCTACAGATAACTGTTCATACTCATAAACATGTACAAGCCAGCTAAGGCTCAGTGGGGTTATCCAATTTCCCTAGTTGCAGACCCAGAAGTGCAGAGTCAGGACTCCAACCTAGTTTCCTGATTCCCATTCTGAGGGTTTTTTTCCCCTTCCTCCCTCCCTCCCATATTTTCCCTTAAACTCAATCACACTGATAATTAGATTATATGTAAATGATTTGAATATGGGCCAGCCAGTAGCATGGTAGTTAAGGTGGCTAGATTTCATATGGCTAACTGCTTGTTTCCAGTCCCAGACATTGGCAGCTTGAAACACACCCTGGGCTCATGTGTGTGCTCAAAATTCCAAAAGGAGGGAGGGAGAGACAGCGGAGAAGAGATTACTGCATGACCATCCCCTTGCGAGGACTTTCTCACTTTTTCTCTCTCTCTCTGTCTCCAGTGAGTACACCTCATATGCTAAATTATAAAAAATTTTTTAAAAAAGCAAATGACTTAAACAAGCAAATTAAATTAAAGAGAGATTGTAAGGTTTTTTAATTGCCAGAGGATGTATGCACTAGAGAGAGAGAGAGAGAGAGAGAGAGAGAAAGCACCCCCAAAATGGGGTATAGTCACACTGCAGTCTTTTTCCTCCATCTTCTCTGCCCCTCCAGGACTTGGGGCATTGCATGTACACACACATATTTTTCAAGCTGCTAGAGCTGAGATTCCAATCACAGTTGGCCATGTGGGATCTGGCTTCCTATGCACTGTGTTTAACTGTGGTTCAACAGGCTGGCCCTGTAAGGTTCAATTAAAAGTTTTTTCTTTATTCATGATAGACTGCATGTGTGTATGAGAGAGAGAGAAGGGGAAACACTCTCCACAGGTCTGATTATGCCATGATCCCCTTCCACCAGTCCTCTAGCCTTTGAGATCTTGGGCCCTCACACATGCCTGAGTGTTTCACCTGCCTATAAAAAGCACACTTTGGGGGGCTAGCAGGTGGCATGGTGGCTAAGGTGCTGGGCTTCCATATGGCTGACCATGGTTCGAGTCCCAGACCCCGCAGCTTTTTTACTTTCTCTCTCTCTCCGCCCTCTCTGGTCAAATCTAAAGTAAATAAATAAAGTTAAATAAAATAATTCTTAAAAAAAGAAAAGGATACTTTAGGGCAGGCTAGTGGCATGGTGGTTAAGGGCGCTGAATTCCCAAACCTGGTGGCTTGCTTTCTCCCTTTCCCTTTCTCTCTCTAGTCAAATTAAAAAATAATAACAAAGGGAATTAAATAAATAAATCATTCTTTTTTAAAAAATAACATTTTATTATTTATTTATTTATTTGGAGAGGTTTTTGCTATAGGGTGCATGCACTCGCCAGAAAGACAGAGAGAGCCAGAAAGTGAGAAATCACCCCCCAGGGGCAATGGCCACACCACAATCCCTTCTCCTCCATTCTCCTCTTGGGATGTTGGGCACGCACATGCGCCCGGCATGAGTTTAAGCCACCAGGTCCGGGACTTGAACCACGGTCGACTACATGGGAGTCCAGTGATGTAGTTATTAGGCCAACTGCTAGTCCCTAAAAAAGCACACTTTAAATAAAAAGACACAAATAGGTTAAAGTAATAAGATAGGAAAAGATAAATGATGTTCATACTAATGAGAATAAAACTGGAGAGAGAAAGAAGGAAAGTGGGATAGCATCCTTGGGAGTATGGCCATGCTGCAATTCCATCTCTTCCATTTTCCTCTTGGGATTCTGGGCACACATGCACATACACCCTGTACATTCTTTAAACCTCTGTGTTTGGGACTTGAACCACACAGTTGGCCATATGAGATTCAGCTGCCTTAACCACCACACCACTGGCTGATCCTGGAGTGGCTATATTAATATCAGACTTTTGAACAAGAAATGTTAGCAAAAAAAGAGAGAGAGACAGTCTGTAATGATAAAGGCATCAATTAATAAAGGAGACACAACCTTATATGTGTATACATCTAATAACATGGCTTCAAAACATATCAAGCAAAAAGCTCCCAAAGCTGAAAGGAGAAGTAGAAAGGCCACCATTATAGTTGGAGACACAACATTTCTCTTGTAGGAACTGATAGAAGTAGAGAAAAAGAAGGATGTATTGGGTTGTCAGAAAAGTCATGACGTATTTTTTCCATGACTTTTCTTTTTCTTGGAGAAGTTTTTGCTATAGGGCGCGTATGCTCGCCAGACAGACAGAGACAGAGAGACAGAAGGAGAGAAGTCACCCCCCGGGGGGATGGCCACACCACCATCCCTTCTCCGCCATTCTCCTCTCGGGATCTTGGACATGTGGACATGCACACACACATGTTCGGTGTGAGTTTAAGCTACCGGGTCTGGGACTCGAACTGTGGTTGACCATGTGGGAGTCCAGCGACATAGCACTATGCTGACTGCTGGTCTTACAACATGACTTTTCTGACAACCCAATAGATAGAGGTTTTGAAAAACATATTAGCATGTACTTACATTGTAAGTTCAACTTCATGGCATCTTTGTATTATAAAATCATTGGATGTCAATAAGCCGTTTTTTTTTTTTTTTCCCTAGCCATAAAAATTCATGACATGGCAAAATTAGCCTTGGGATCTTCCCCAATTTCTATATCCAATGATGAACAGCCATATTCCCTGGTACTATATTTCTTTTCCCTGAAATATCCTTATGATTCCTTCAAAAACCAGATTCAAACCACTTGTTCCTGCAAAGAAAAACAACTAGACAAAAACAATTCCTGATCAGGAATTCTGTATTGCTCTTAGCACATTGGTTTACTCCTCAATTGCTTACTTGCCAAGTAGTTGGAAAAGGATAATCAGTTTAAGAAAAAGTTTCAAATCAATTGTCTTTTATTATTATCTTTAAAATATCATAAAATGGCAGGGCCAACAGCGTAATGGCTATGTCGCTGGACTCCAATGTAGTCAACCACAGTTTGAGTCCCAGACCCGGTGTCTTAAACTCACTCCAGGCATGTGTGCATACGTGCCCGAGATCCTGAGAGGAGAAAGGAGGAGAAGGGACTGTGGCGTGGCCATTCCCCCTGGGGGGTGATTTCTCGTTTTCTGTCTCTCTGTCTCTGTCTTTCTGGGGAGTGTAGACCTCTGAGAAAAGACAGAGACCAAAACAACAGGTAAAGACATTTGAAGTGAACAGATTATACAGAGAAGAAAAAACTGTCAGTAGTAGCTTCTGAGACAAGACAAGCTACCACAACCCTGAAAACAAACAGATGCTGTAAAAAGGAGTACTTGGGCCAGTGGGTGGAGAAGTGGTTGACGTGGCTGAGGTGGCTGGATCCCATGTGGTCAACTGCGTGGCTAGAGGTTTGGTTCCAGTGGCTTAAAAAACACACTGGAGGGCTGGCAGGTGGTGTGGTGGCTAAGGACACTGGACTCCCACGTGGCCGACTGCAGTTCAAGTCCCAGACATGGCGGCTCGCTTTCTCACTTTCTCTCTCTCTCACTTTGTCCCTTTCTGGTCAAATTAAAAAACAAAAAAACAGGGACCAGCAGTTAGCATAATGGCTATGTCGCTGGACTCCCACTTAGATGAC